GCCACACTGTCTCACCATCACTGTGTGGTCACTGGATTTCACACTGTTTCACCATCACTGTGTGGTCACTGGCTGCCACACTGTCTCACCATCACTATGCGGTCACTGGCTGCCACACTGTCTCACCATCACCGTGTGATCACTGAACTCCACACTGTCTCACCATCACTGTGTGGTCACTGAACTCCACACTGTCTCACCATCACTGTGTGGTCACACTGTCTCACCGTCAATGGAAGAAAGAGCCAAGTAAATATTTCTTGGGAGAACTCTTTACAAGTGAATGCAAGTCCAAGTTCATTCAATCCTTTTTAGCAAAACAACTATTTTTGCAAATCAGCTTTCAGAAAGCATAAAGAGCAAAAAGTATGAGCCTAGGACTAAGGGAAAAGACGAGAGAGTCTGGATTTGAGTAGATTTGCTTATAGAAAGAGACGTCAGTTACCCCATGGGATGCCCCGGGTACTTCCTGCTGTACGTTCAACTAGCTGCTATTTGCTTAGAGAGGGTCAGAGAGAAATGGAATCATGTGCTTCAGTTTTTCACTCCGCAGCAAGTCCCAAGATGTGGCCAGGTTTAACAGCCCACTGCAGACAGGCCAGACAGCCGTGGTGAAACATGGCCCTAAGATATGGCTCATCTGAGTCCCTCTGACCTTCTGGTCTTTGGGCACATTCCTTAGTTTCTATAAGACTTGTAATGCCACACACGGCATCTATAATGACATGGGGACAGAATGTGAAATACTTTCTTTGAGGTCAACAGCTGGTCTACAGCTATTTCAGGAAAACCTATGACAGGGGCCTGTGCCTGAAAGCCTGGGCATAACAACACATTTATAATAAAATAAGTAATAATAGCATCAACAGCACTTCTTTACAGAGGCCACTGAGTGCCAGGCTGCACAGCCAGTTGTGGGGACATCTCACACAGCCTCTGGGAATCTCTGCACAGTTGTCTTTCAGTTTTACAATCATGCTTAGAGTAGACATTGGGCCCGCTTTAGAGATGCAAAGCCAAGGTTCAGGAAGTTATCCTGAAGAATGCCATCAGGGCTGGAATGAAGAACTCAAAGCTCTTTCTTTCAGTTTGGTGACTGCAGGAACTTCAAACCATACGTAGGAACTGCTCCGTAAAGAGTAATATAATTCTGAAATTATTTCCCAAACTTAAAACTGGCAGAGACCCCACCAGACAGCTTTGTTTAGGAATGCTTTTAATGTGAGCAAATTCAAAGTAGCATCATGATTCCTCATTCTCTCAAGTGACTCACATCCCAAAAGCAAAGGAATTTTTTATTGAAATTTTACATAGGAGCTTATGAATGATGCATTTTGCAATAGAGTTCCTGGTTACTTAATGAGTTTTAATGACTGAAAACATAGATTCAGGATGTCTCAGAGGTTATTGGGATAATGCATTAAATTGGATAAGCTTAAGTAGACATTAGCACTATTATTCTTAATCTTTTCCATTAAATAAAATACTTCACTTTAATTGTTAATCCAATTAAGTCACAATAGATAAACTGTCTTTGTAGAAAACAACAAAATATTAAAAGACAAATTTCAGCAAACTGGAGTAAGAGCATTGTTCTCATCTTCATCTGAGTCCCCAGAAGAGAAGAGCAAGTCTAGAATGTTCCAAAACAAGGTTTGGGCAGTTGCTTTTTCAGAAACAGGCCTCTTAGACCCCTAACAAACTTGGGTTTACCTTTTGCACTAACTGGTTTGATCAGATAACAGTACTCCAGAGCAGTGGCCATTTGTACTCGGCTGCGGTTCCCCCCACTCCCCATCAACTAAATGGATAGTCCCACTCCATTTGAGAACTTTCTGAGTTTCAAAATTATTTAGGGAGATATGTAGTTTTTAACTCACTTACCCAATGTGAGGGACTTGTGTGTGGAGCAGAAGATGATAGCCACTGTGTCCGCTGGTGTGAAACCCGAGTTATTCCTAAGGGGATAAGGAGGGCATTTTTACAAATACTTGTAAGAAAATCAAACGTGCCCATCTTTATGTTAGCATTCCGCTGATCAACCCTGGTGACAGAAGCTACTGTGGAACAAAGTATACAGTTCTGATTTCTTTTTAGACTCTATGTTCCTATACCCAGTTATAAAGGCTTACAAAATTATGAGCCAAAATTAGAAATAAATAATAAGAATAATATTCCCTCCTACTGCTGGGTGGTAGCGGCGCACATCTTTAACCCCAGCACTAGGAAGGCAGAGACAGGCAGATTTCTGTGAGTTTAAGGCCAGCCTGATCTACAGAGTGAGTTCCAGAACAGGTTTCAAAGCTACACAGAAAAACACCGTCTTGAAAAACCAACTAGATAGATAGATAGATAGATAGATAGATAGATAGATAAAAATATTGCCTCCTACCTTAGAAACCCTTCCCTAATTTCTGTAGATGGTACAGTGTGTCTACTATTCTGTGCCCTAAACTCTGACAATAGTTACTTCATGAAGAAATAGTCCAGAAGTATATCTACATATGTACTGTAGACGAAGTGAGCTTATCACCACAGCCTGTGTCCACAGGGTTTTAAAGGTTTCTAATGGGTATAAAAAAAGCTGTTGACCAGCAGTGGCACATGGCAGCCTCATCAGGCCCAGCCTCTCCTTGATGAAATTGAGTTATCCTTTACCCACAGATCCCAAATTATAGGGCAGGGCTTGATGAACCCTGGAGGCCAGTAATTTAGGCCAAAGTAGGCCTGAGGCAATGAACTCCCCTTGGCCTGGAGAAAAACTGAGGCAACAAATTCCACAGGAGTGAAAGTGGGAGCGGGGCAGGGGCTAATCCAATCCCAGGACACGGGCGGACCAGGATTGAGTCAGCAACCTGGTCTAGAGACAACAAACTCCACCGGAACAGATGCTAAAAAAGCTTTTGAGAAAATACAACATCCCTTCATGATAAGGGTGTTGGAGAGAACAGGGATACAAGGAACATACCTTAAGGCAATATATAGCAAGTCAATAGCCAACATTAAACTAAATGGAGAGAAACGCCCAGCGATTCTAATGAAATCAGGAACAAGACAAGGTGTTCCACTCTCTCCATAGCTATTCAATATAGTTCTTGAGGTCCTAGCTAGAGCAATAAGACACCAAAAGGAGATCAAGGGGATACAAATTGGAAAAGATGAAGTCAATCACTATTTGCTGATGATATGATAGTTTACATAAGCGATCCCAAAAATTCTACCAAAGAACTTCTACGACTCATATACACTTTCAGTAATGTAGAAGGATATAAGATAAACTTGAAAAAATCAGTAGCCCTCCTATACACAGATGATAAAAGGGCTGGGAAAGAAATCAGAGAAACAACACCCTTCACAATAGCCATATATAGCATCAAATATCTCGGAATAACTCTAACCAAGCAAGTGAAAGACTTGCATGACTTAAATCTTTGAAGAAAGAAATTGAAGAAGACACCAGAAAATTGAAAGATCTTGTATGCTCTTGGGTAGGTGGAAGTAACAGTAAAAATGGCAATCTTACCAAAAGCAATCTACAGATTCAATGCAATGCCCATCAAAATCCCAGTGAAATTCTTCACAGACCTCGAAAGAACAGTACTCAACTTTATATGGAAAAGCAAAAAACCCAGGATAGCCAAAACAATCCTGTATAATAAAAGAACTTCTGGAGGCATCACAATCCCTGACTTCAAACTCTACCACAGAGCTACAGTATAGGAGGACCAATGGAACTGAATAGCAGACCCGGATATTAATCCACATACCTTCAAACACCTCATTTTTGACAAAGAAGCAAACAATATCAAATGGAAAAAGAAAGCATAACAAATGGTGCTGGCATAACTGGATATCAACATGCAAAAGAATGAAAATAGACCCATATCTATCACCATGCACAAAACTCAAGTCCAAATAGATCAAAGACCTCAACATAAAGCCAGCCACACTGAACCTTATAGAAGAGAAAGTGAGAAGTACACTTGAATGCATTGCCACAGGAGAACGCTTTCTAAATATAACCCCAGCAGCACAGACACTGAGAGAAACAATTAATAAATGGGACCTCCTGAAACTGAAAAGCTTCTGTAAAGCAAAGGACACGGTCAACAAAACAAAATGACAGCCTACAGAATGGGAAAAGATCTTCACTAACTCCACATCAGACAGAGGTCTGATCTCCAAAATATACAAAGAACTCAAGAAATTGGTCATCAATAGAACAAATGACCCAATTTAAAAAATGGAGTACAGACCTAAACAGAGAACTCTCAACAGAGGAATCTAAAATGGCTGAAAGACAATTAAAGAAATGTTCAACATCCTTAGTCATCAGAGAAATGCAATCAAAACAACTCTGAGATTCCATCTTACATCTGTAAGAATGGCCAAGATCAAAAACACTGATGACAACATATGCTGGAGAGGCTGTGGGTAAAAGGGAACACTTCTGCATTGCTGGTGGGAATGCAAGCTGATACAGCTCCTTTGGGTGTCAGTGTGGCGATTTCTCAAAAAATTAGGAAACAACCTTCCTCAAGACCCAGTAATATCACTTTGGGGTATATAGTCAAAGGACGCTCAATTGTGCCACAAGGACAGGTGCTCAACTATGTTCATAGCAGCTTTGTTTGTCATAGCCAGAACCTGGAAACAATCTAAATGCCCTTCAACTGAAGAATGGATAAGGAAAATGTGGTACATTTACACAATGGAGTACTACACAGCAGAAAAAAATAACGACAGCTTGAATTTTGCAGGAAAATAGATGGAGCTAGAAAACATTATTTTGAGTGAGGTAACCCAGACCCAGAGAGACAATTATCACATGTACTCACTCATAGGTGAATTTTAAACATAAAGCAAAGAAAGCCAGCCTACAAACCGCAATCCCAGAGAATTTAGACAACAATGAGGACACTAACAGAGACTTAGTAATCTGCATGGGAAGTAGAAAAAGACAAGATCTCCTGAGTAAATTGGGAGTATGGGGATTTTGGGGGAGGGCTGAAGGGGTGAGGGGAGAGGCAGAGAGGGGAGCAGAGAAAAAGGTAGAGCTCAATAAAAACCGATAAAAATAGAAAAAAAAATAAAGGTTTCTTCTAATGAACAGGTCTACATTTCCCTAAGTAACCTTATCTCCCCATCTGAAGTTTTGATGGGTGAAACATCTTAATCCCTGTTTAGTAAAATCCCTAAGTAGGTCCTACATCCTATGTCATACTCACTGGAGGGAAGGTTTGAAGGCCTCTCTTAACCCACCCCATGGCCACCGTCCTGGTCTCCTCTCCTCTGCAGTCTCCTCTGGTATCTCCCCTGCCCGGGGCGCCCCACAGATGAGTAGCACCAGACTGCAACAAGTCTGCCTTACTGTCTCACATTGCCTCTCATGTCCTCCTGCTCTTTAGACATCATGCTGCATAACTAACATTTTCCATCCCTTTATTCCTCATCCCTTTATCCCTGTGGCAAGTTATGCGGAGGGAACTCTCGGGCAAAGATCTGGACTATGGTAGGACAGGAATATAGGTAAATATCTTCTTCTGTGTGCAGAAGAGGGGATAAGAGGTGAGGTGAGGGGAGGTGAGGGGAGGTGAAGGGAGGGGAGAGGAAAAGAGAGGGGAAGATCTGCCATTGAACAGAAAGAACGCCCTGGCACTTGGTGGGGTGGGCTATGACAAAGGAGCACATTGAACCCCCTAGGGGATGGGAAACCCGGAGCCTGAGACAGGTAAAGAGCAGACCCTTCAGGCTTCTTCAGGAAGACTGGCTTGTGAGCCGGGGTGTGAACTTGAAGACAGTCCACTGCTCCTCCCCAAGCAGTGCTCCTGCCAAAGCTAGAGAGTGCAGGCTTTGGGGACAAGCATGCTTGATTTTAACCCCCCCCCAGGATAATCTTATTTTCCTCTGTGAGGATAAATGTAAATGTTTAAAAATTTACACATTGCAAGCACTTATGACATACTAGTAACATTCTCATTATCATAACTATTACTTTTCGAGAGGAAAACATTAGGGGATATGAGGAGCTCTGACCATTCTGGATTGAGAGGCACACTGAGTCACGAATGGGGACAGAATGGAAGAGACAGCCATTGGGGTTGGGGAGTCAAAGAGTTGATGCCACATGTGATAAATTTAAAGTTGCAAAGGACTATGGGAGAGGGATGTGGGGGAGGAGAGAAGGAAGAGAAGGAGGGAGGGAGAGAGGTGGGGAAGGGAAGAAGGGAGAGGGAGAAAGGGGAAGAGAAAAATATGAAGAAACTGCTAAGTCTAGGTTTCCCAACAGTCCCAAGAGGATCACACAAAAGGAACAAATGGAGTTTCTTATTTTTTTCTGAGCTGGAAGCAAAGCAGAAAAACAAGGTGATGGAAAAGTACAGAAAATGGTGAGGGAGAGCATTAGAACAGGAGTGACCATGTCAAGGAAGGTATTCCCCTCACTTTAGACAGATAAGGTAATGTGGCAGACTGAAGAGGCTTCCCTCTGGAGGGGTGTGTAGCTGTGGGGATGTTCCCACAGACACAGGGTGCCAGTTGCGTGCAAAGGCCTCTCCGTATTTCGTTGTAGAGTGTTTCCCGAGACTGCCTGGGATCCACTCTTGTTCAGATCACGGCACATTTCCTCGGGTCCATGAGGCTCTGGTCAACACTCACTGGAGCAGCCCTTCCAGTGTGGCTCAAGAGGACATGTGGGGTGGGGTCACGCTTGTTCTGCTCAGGGGAGGAGACGCAGCGAGCCTAGGGGGTGTGGACCAGAGCACTGCTGTGGTCCAGAGCACAAACTCCATTAGCAGGAAGGAGGAAGCCTTAGGATGGAATACCAAGTGCCAAGTGTTTGAAATCCATCTGCCCTCTTGGGCCAGCTCGCTTCTGTGACAGGCTCTACGGTGTGGATTTTAAGACAAGTACCCACAGGCAAATGTCCAGGTGGTTCTCTACTCATAGGAGTGACCGC